CCACCTAATTTCTATGTATTTACATATCTAAAGCTTAAACTTTGCTCATTTATACCACCCAAATTTTCTGTATCAGATAAAAATACCATCCTTTAAACTTGTTAAATGTGAATACATAAGAGTTGTGTGCTATGCATGTTAATGCTCTCAATGGGAGTTTTGTGGTTTTGGTTGAAAGGATTATGTTGTTTTTCCTGTGTAAAGATGAAAGTTTTGATGTGAGATTTATAAATTTCTAAGCATTGTGTGGTATGTATGCAGGTATGTGTTGTGATATTGGAAAAATGTGAATACATAAGAGTTTTGTGCTATGTATGTAAATGCATAAGAACTGAGTGATTTTACATCTTTTTGATTTGTAGTTCATATTGAAGAATTACCTCACATCAACAATTTGGTGGGCTTGCCATAGTTTCGATGGGACTGCTCTTCATGATCTGAATTTATATGCAACAAAGAGAGTTTAGGTGTGAGCGTTGCAAATACATAAGATTCGATGGGATTGTTTTTGTAATGCTCGTTAAGGCATTGTAATCAATACGGGGACACTCATCTATAGAGCTTGGCTCGCTATTCATGCATGCATGCAGATGCAAATGCAGACAATCATATTATAGAAGTTGTGGGGTGTGTGTCGTAGAGGCAGTGACTCAGGAGCGAGTGTGTTGCGGAGGCAGCGGCCCACATGAATTGGCATGTCATAGAGGCAGTGACCCGGAAGAGTGGGTGTGTCGTGGAGCTAGTAGCTCGAAAAATGGGTGTCCTGAAGACAGTGGCCCGAAAGGGTGGGCTTGTCGTGGAGGCAGCAACCCAAATGATGAGTGTGTCGCAGAGGTAGTGACCCGAAAATGTGGGCATGTCGTAGAGGTAGCGACCCAAAAAATGGGTGTGTCGCAGAGACAGTGACCCCAAAGGGCAAGCGTGTTGTGGAGGCAAAGGCCTGAGGGTTGGCGTGACATAGAGACATTAGCCCAAAGGATGGTTGCGTCATGAAGGTTGTGACCAAAAAGGGCGGGCATGAAGTAGAAACTGGTCCGAAAGATGATGTTTCTCACTAGAGAGAATCATTCAAGTGTGGTGAGTATATGAATAAACACTCAAAATACAACTCATGCATATGATAACGACTATAACATCATGTAAACAACAATGTGCATGCAAAACATACACTGTGCAAGTGAAGTTCAACCCACTACGACGGTCAACCTGGAGCAACGTAGCCAACGTGCTAAGTCGGGTTAAGGTGGCCGACCGGACCAAAGTTATCGGTCAACCAGGCTAGGGCGGTTGGTCGGATCAAAGTGATTGGTTGAACCAAGTCAAGGGAGCCGTTCAGACCAAAGTGTAATGCGGACCAGGCCGGAGCGGCGAGTCAGACCAAAGTGATCGATCGGCTGGGTCGGGACGGCCGATCAGACCAACATGTAATGTCAACCGGGTCGAGGCGACCGATTGAGGCAAAGTGTAGTGCAGAGCGGCCGGTCGAGGCAAAATGTAATGCCGACCAAACCGGGGGGGGTTTGAGGCAAATTGTAACGCCGACAAGGCCAGGGCGTTTAGTCAAGGCAAATTGTAATGTGTGACAACCAACAAATAAATCACGCACATGATTGGTCAATCAATGAGCATGTGGTCGGGTCGACCGGTATCGTTCGATCAATTAAACCATCTGATAACAGGCGATCGATTGAGACGGACGATACCGGCTGGTCGGTCAAACCTGCCTCGTTTGGGCAATCAAACCCACAAACACCTAGTAAGCAAAGGGTTTTTAGAGAATATCACCAAAGCAAAGGTTGTGGATGTGTTTCTTCTAGTGGGATGAAGCTCTCCTGACAATAAGAAAGAAAACAAAGTTCCGGCAAAGCTCCGACGAGGCCCACCCCACTCCAAAAAAAGAAGAAGTTCTCATTTAGAAGGAGAGAAGAAACCTTGCTTCCCTGCCAACTAAGCTCGCTCTCCTCAAGAAAATCTCCTCACATACTCAAGGCAAATGGTTGAAGAAGATGGAGATGAGGAAGAGAAAAGGATGGAGGAGATGGGATCTCTTCGCTTCCTCTCGTTGAGGAACATGAAGAGTCTTTCACTTATGCTCTCTCCAAGAAACTCTCTCCAAGGGGAAGATGAGGCTCTCAAGTGCTCTATGCTCTCACCTCACCGGCATCCACAAAATCTGAAAATGAGAAAAAAATGATGAAATGAGAAGGAGAATGGAGCTTAAACCATCCCTTCTCCAATTTCCACCCAAATTTGCTAAAAATGTTCTTGCCACCTCACCCTAGGAGCCTCCAAAAAAGGTATAAAAAGCGATATTATTACCTCATTTATCTCCCCCTAAGCAAATCTCCCCAAAGCCAAGAAATCCATGCACTTTTGGCTACCTATGCCAGAGTGTCGGGGTCAAAATCATGAAAATCACGGGAGAAAATTGGGGCTGAATTTGGCTTGGCGCTTAAGCTGGGGCTCTGGGGCCAGGCGCAAGGTTTCCCAAGGCTAGCTTTCGAACTATTTCGAAGCAATTTCTGGCGCATATACACCCCAAGCTGGCGTCGATATGTTGTCCTCTCTGTTTTAAGCCCCGTGGGGAATGTTCTGGTCGCCTAGGCGCCTGGGGCTGCCGCCTAGGTGCGGGGTTGACCTTGAAAATCTGTTTTCATCTGGGAACATCCGGCGAAGGATTTTCTCGATCCAAAAGCTATGGGGGACCAAATATGAATAAATTATGATCCCCTAACTTCAAAAATGAGCGTCTTGCTCATTCGTTGGTCGAAGAATCGATCACCAATGGGCGCTTTGAACTAAGGCGCAGGTAAGGCGTTCCAAACCCTATTTTCCCGTAACACGCGTGGAAGGGTTCCATTACTTCCCTTGACCGCAGAGAGGCTTTGAATGGATTTAGACCATAGGACACTATAATGGACATCAAACATGTCCAATGTCCTAAGTAGGTGCACTCGACGACAGATTCTCTCGGGTAACGATGAATTATCACAAACCTTGTTTTTGCACCCCGAACACGTACCGAAGGTCTCGAATGGGTGTCTTGAGTTACGGGATGCTATGAATGAGCAAAGAATCATCCTGAGCTGGTCAAGTGGACACCCTACACATGTGACGCCAACAGTTGTATCACATGATGTTCTCCTCTTTCTTTTCAACGTCTCAAGGAGCTCGTGATCCTTATCGGTAAAGACCACCCCGGTCTCTTCCTCGACCTCCACTACAATTAAATTTTCCCGGTAACCCCCTCTTCCACCTGTTTGGCCTCCACGACTACAACCACGTCCTCTAGACTATCCACATCTACCCATCTATCTCTCCTTGGGTGGCTTTGGACAGGCACTGCTCAGGTGTCCCACTTCTCCGTAGTTGTAGCGACTGGGTCTCCTCCTGAGCACCAGTCATACCTGAGCCAGAGGCAACCAAAGTTACTTGCATTCCTGGAAGTCTACTCGACTGAGCCGGAACACATGCTGAGGTAATGGCTCCCAATGACACACTAACTCCTTATATGAGCCCAACCAAAACCTTCAAATCTTCAGGATCTATATTTCCCAGAAGTTCTAATGCTTTGTTTATCATACTATCTTCTCCTGTTGACATCCCGAAAACAATTCCTTGAGAAGGAAACCAAGAGACTTTATTATGTACGAACAAAATCAAAATCCTGCTTCGCTCCTTCATCTCACAGTAAACCTTCGCAGAAGCCCTTCACGATCAGGTAGATGTCGATCCCCTCAGCCAATCTCAATGAGTAAAGCCACGATCCCATTTGCCTTTCCAGCGATCCCAGCGAGCACGAACTCTGACTATTGAAATGCATACAAGAAGAAGTTCGACAATCTCTCAAGGCGGTACAAGATCCTGGACCCGATGTTCGAGGAGCTTAAAAAAAGCAACAAGCAGTGTCGTGATCCCGTCTGCCTTCTCAACGAGCCTTCACGAGTGGTTCCGTCTGCTTAAAGAAAGCACAACAAGCACTGCCTCGATCTCATCTGTTGATCCCAGCGAGCAGTGTCGTGATCCCATCTGCCTTGGCGATGTAGCTACGCGAAGCTATCCCGTCTACCTTCCCAGTGAGCTCTATCGCGACTGACAGGGCAACATCGATTGGCTGCTAGGTTAGGCTCTAATACCATAAAGAATTGATTGCTCTTAAAAACTTGTTCTATTCATCAATAACTTGGGCTTTACATAAGGTCTTACAATATTTTACAAATAATTCCCTAAACTTCTTCTATATTTTCTATTTACAATTAAGACTCAAAACTATATACAAATCTCAACAGAACGCTAATCCTCAACTCTTCATTTCAACTTCCAATCTCAATTTGATTCAGCTGAGTGAGAGTTTCAAGCAAGTTTTCAATTTCGGATGCATCATCCTAAACCAAACCACTTTGCATAAGAATTACATCTTCAGCATTAAGTGGAAGAGCAGCACAAAACACCTAAAGGTGAAATAATATGATACACATCTGCTTTCTATACAAAATTCACCAATAATATTGGTCCAAACTATCTGTACCATTCCACCCCTTTTCCATCTCAAAAAATAGCAAAAAAAAATCATAGCAGCAAAAAAGAATGGGTCATTTACATATTACCACACAATTCTTATGTATTTACATATCTAACACCTAAACATTCATATTTACATGCATACCACTCAAATTTTTGACATTACATAAAAAATACCACCATCAATACCTTCCTAAAAGCATGCAAAGGTCTATGACACTAAGGTGTTGTAATTGTAAGGAAAATTTACATACATAGCACATGATTCTTATGTATTTACATATCTCACACCTAAACTTTTATATTTACATATCTAGCACTTTGGTGCTTTAAACCTATACATGAAAAGTTGTATTTCACTCTACAAAGTAATAATAGTGCTGTGATATCAAAGATTTCAGTGCTGTGTAAATATGAAAATTTAGGTGTGAGACATGTAAATACATAAGAATTGTGTGCTATGCATCTAAATGTCCCTAAGTGTAAATATCAAACAAAAATACATAAGAATTGTGTGGTATGTATGCAAATTTCCCAAAAAAAAATGGATGTACCTGTCATAATCGGCCCCAGTTCATGAACCTCTTCACCTCATCATACAATACCAAAATGGCAGCTGCTCCGGTGCTCCTAAACATGTTCGAAACCGCACCGCGGTAGAATGAGACGACTCCTTCCGTCTCATATATCTTCCTCCAGCAGTCTGCAGTGCTGCCATACATCTGCTTCTCCAACCCGGACTGCATCATCATCCGCCGTCGCACGGTATCGAGCGGATAGGAAATCAGCCCGGCCATCGTGGAGACCAGCTGCGCGGTCGCCCACCTTTTCCATAAAGCCGAGTTTTCTGACACGAGAAACTCCTTAGCAGTGTCGAAGCCGCCAAAGTAGAGGCCACGGTGGATCACCATGCCGTGGAGGGAGGCAGGGAGGCCTCTATAGATGCCTCGGATGCCGTCGGTTTTGTGGATGGTTTGGAGGAAGTGGAGAATGCCTCTAAACTGGCGCGAGTCCGACTTGCCAATGTCGGCGGCAAGCCGGGTGTGGGCGATGTCGAGAGGGTAAATGAGAACGAGTGTGGTGCAGCCGGCAGCTGGCCAGAAAGTTGACGGTGGCGGCTGAGGTCAATCCGCCCGCCGGAGATGCCTCTCCATCCTCCCTGAGCATGCCTCTGTAAAGGTCCTGGATTAATAACAAAGACAGACTCAGACAGTAAAGTTTGAAACCATTAGCTTCCTCAGAGTAACAGTTAAAGGAAACATGGATAAGAAAGGAGAGAGATTTCCTAGGAACCGCAACGGGCATATACATACATGTCGCCCCATTCCTATGTATTTACATATCTAACACTTAAATTTCCTTTCACATTTACACTATACAAATCAAAAAAATTAGATGCACAGTTTTCACGTATAGATAAGGTGGTTGTAATTGAAGTTTGTGTTTTAAATATGTAAACATGCAAGAATTAAGTGGTGTGTATGTAAATCTTCCTAGAGTAAATATTTCAGGATTTTAGGAGTGTCTTTCTTTTGGGGCATTTATATACATACCGCCCAATTTTTATGTATTTACATATCTAACACTTAAACTTTAATTTTTATATTTATACCACCCAAATCTTTCATATCGCATAAAAAAATATCACTATTTAGCTTTTAAAAAGTGAAATACATATTTCCATGCATAGGTAAAGTGGTAAGTATGTAAAAAGTGAAGTTTAGAAGTTAGATATGTTAATACATAAGAATTGAGCGTTATGTAGATAAATCTTCCCTTTATTTTCTCTTTAAACTTATCATAGCAGCAAAAGGAGCTTGGCAAAAGGATATTCATCTAGTAATTTGAAAACCATTAGCTTGCTTAGAGTGACAGTTGAAGGAAAGATGGATGCCACGTTAGAGTAAATATTTCAGGTTTTTAGGTGCGCATTTACATGGATACCACCTGATTCCTATGTATTTACATAACAAAAACCTACATTTTGCCTTCTAAACTTACCCACCCAAATCTTTCATAAGACAAAAAATACAACCATTTTAGTTTTAAAAAGTGAAATACACTTTTTCATGAACAGGTAAGGTGGTATGTATGTAAAAACTAGAGTTTAGGTGTTAGATATGTAAATACATAGGAATTGAGTGGTATGTTACATATTCCCTTTCTTTTCTCGTTAGGCTTAGCATAGCAGTCAAAAGGAAATGGAAAAAGGAATACTCATCTAAAAACTACAAATTGCGTAGATGGGTCATGTTATCGACTGGGTCTTTTATATGAATCTGTTCGACAATCAATGGAGTTCTGATGCTTATATGGTTTTAATCAATCTTCAAATAGGATAAATCTAGCTGCTTGCATCAATGCCTCTTTTTTTTTATTTTGCAATTCTAATAGTCTGATCTTTGTTGGGATGTTGGAAAGAGAGGTTTAGGGTTGTTGGGAGTGGGGATGAAAGGGATATAGGGTTGGTAGAATGCAAAAAAAAAGGGGGTATTTACATACATAGCACTCATCTTAATGTAATAGCATATTTCACACCTAAACTTCTATATTTACACATATAGTGCTTTGATGCTTTAAACTATACATGAATGGTGTACTTAACTAAAATGGTAATAGTGCTATTTTTTATGTTATATTAAAGATTTGAGTGTTATGTGTGTAAATATAAAAGTTTCGGTGCAAGATATGTAAATACATAAGAATTGTGTACTAGGTATGTAAATTTCGCAAGAAAAATCTGACGAGATTAGGGATTTGGGACAAATTTCTTGTTGAGACTTTCTAACCATGAATAGACCAATGATGATGGTTTTAGGTCAATTAGATACATGATTAGGTCTTTCTGAGACTTCTACGTGGATTGTCATGGCATGGGGACAATAGGAGCTGTGTTCTGGTGAAGGAAATGGGGGAATTTCAAATCTTGGGAAGATTGCGAGGTTTTAGAAGAATAGGAAATATAAAAATGATAATGTTTAGGCTTGCAAAACTTGGTCGTAGTTGATTCACATATCCATACAAAAGCTAGACAAATTTTTGCAAGAAATCAAATTTATTTTTTCAGTAAATTATGGGGTAAAAATAATACATTAGGTGTTGCAGCAGACAAATGAAGCAGACAGAGAAAGACACTCAAATAATCTTAGTAAAGATTTGTTAATGCCATGCACATCATTAAATATAGAAGTTTCGAATTTGGGTTTAGTGTAAGGGTGGTTATTTGGTGATGCAAGGCAATACATAGTTGCAAAAAACATAGTAAGTAGTAAAATGCTATTAAAAATATCCAAATACCGAGATAGACAAGATGGAAAAAAATAATACTTGACTACAAAAACTTCTTGAAAAGAAGGCTGAAAGCAATGGACATCTAAATTATCACATAATTATGGTTGTTTAATGGATTGTTTGGGATTAATTTTATTTTTTATTTTTATTTTGTTTTTTTCCATTGTTTTTAAAAACATGTTTGTTTAATGTGCTTTTAACATATTTTTATTTTTTATTTTTAAAAACAAATAAGCATGTTTTTAAAAACAGTTAAAATAACTTTTGAATGATTTGAGTGCTTTCACAAGCAATCACAACATAATGAAATATATTAAATATATTTTGTTTCAAATCAAAACATAAACAAAATAAAATAAAACAAAAACAAAAGCGATCCCAAACTACCCCATGTCTCTTCCACACAAACCACATTTACCTTTTTTAATGATTATTCAAAATAAAAGAAAATAACCCTCACACAATAATGAAATGCCAGTATATAAAAAAGCAATTCCCTTAGTGAAATTTAAGGGGACTAACCGACAAAACTAATGAAATAAGCCACCCTTTTTTCAATCCATAATTCAATGGGACACGGAGCATCAATTCCTGATATCAGTCAAAGGCATCATTCACGTGTGGCCATTTTGTTCTCTACATTAGTCTAGTTTCTATGAATAAATTGCACATGCAATCCCCACTCTAAAGTACAACAACAACAAAACCTTTATCCCACTAAGTGGGGTGGGTCAGCTACATGAATCCTTTTTCTCCATTGGGTCCTATTTAGTGTCATATTTTCATTTAAATCTAATAAATTAAAATCATTTTTCATACAATATGCCCAAGTCATTCTAGGTCTACCTCTGCCTTTATTAACATAAGTCGAATCTAAAACATCTACTCTTCTAATCGGATTATCAGATGGTCGATGTTTAATGTGACCAAACAATCCCCACTCTATAGTAAATAAAATAATATATCAAAATGACCACCATTATATAAAAGAATAGGAAAAGATATTTGCCTCCTATTACAGTCAGAGCAGTCATTCCAAGCCCAAAGTACCGTTCGTAACTAAATAACCCAAATTCCTCATCATTCCTCAATTTTTTTTCTAAATTTTAAGGTTTGCCTTATTAGCCACCTTGGTTTGCTCGCTCCTGTGCGGGTAGCCAAGCAAATTTCAAATTCAAGTTCAACCTTATATTGTAAAATCAAATCTAGAAATTTGGTGTTAGGGTTGTGCTACTCATTATCAGTTACATAGTAAAAGATATGAAATAATGAGTGATGATGCTGCTCCATAGATATTGATGACCATTAAGGCAATATGGCAAGTGGCATGGTTTAGATTGATTTGGTGAGGTAATCTCTAGAATTCGTAGGAATCACCTTCCTCGCTCAAGGGATAGTTGCAATGAACTCCTTCCCCATACAGACCACTCAAGTCCTACATATTTACATATCTAACACATAAACTTCAATTTTACAGACATACCACCATGAAAAGTTGTATCTCATTTTTAAGTGAAAATTATAGTATTTTTTATGTGATATGAAAGATTTAAGTGGTATAATTGTAAAAAATACTGTTTACGTAGATATTAAACACATAGGAACTGGGTGGTATGTATGTAGATAGATTAGAAGTTATTGAACAGATCAAACTATTAACTAGATGGGCGAACAATATTTTTCATAAAACTAACTACAACATTTCTACAAGAAATTCTTTGCATCATGCTTAAATGATCTCAAATAATACCTGTGTCAAATCAACTTCTTTGCAAACATAAGCCCAATTAACTCTTGTACTCACGACAATATTTATGATAAGACCTCTAGATATTAGACTCCATGATATTTCTTATAAGGAACAACATCATAGATTACGCAAAATACCTTACAACTTGATAAAAAAAGCTTTCTCGCCTTAACACAACTGAGAGATGGCATTTCGTTTAACAAGAAGTTAATGGGAATAAGCTAGTACTTATAATATGGGATTTGCATTAATTCGAGCTCATCAATGAAAGGGAAAGCTATCTCTTAAATGGATGTTGTATAAGAATTGTCCTATTTTGCTAGAAGCTCGTCCAATTGATTTTTTTCGCTTTGAATCTATTTGATGATGAGCTTCTTGAACTTCTCTGACCTCTACCTTGGCTTTATTTAAATACCAAAGGTCTTGATTCTTGACCTTATATTCTCAATTGATTTGGTTCATGATCTTCCTCAACCTTAAGATGAGTGTGTAATGGAGTCCAACTAGCATTGATTCATGTATGGCTTAATTGTTTTTAGCTTAGAACTTGAACCCGAGGGCATTAAACAAGACTACTCCATCCAACTTTAGTATAAGAATGGTGACTCCATCAGCTCTAGCTAGTTTAGAACTAGAGATGCTGTCAAATAGTTATTTTCTAGGCTCTTAGAATGACTTATAAAGCCTTGATCTGCTTAGCCCTATCCATTCTCTTTAGGGTTTCGAAAATCAGTACACACATTTGTCGTATAGAAAGATGAATCCATTAAGCCTAGACAATCTTGCAGTCAATTTCCATATTTCTTTAAATGAGCAAGGAAATGTTACTCCAATATTGCCTTAACGTTAGGCGCTATGATAAGATAAGGTAGCCCAAAATTTTTCCATAATGTAGTCTAAATATGCATTTGTTTGAATTACATCACATATTATACTTCCACATATAAAAGAAAGTCTTCAAATCTTATAGAGTCTAGCTTTAAACAATAGTAGCAACTAGCCTTTATCCCATTAAGTGGGGCCGGCTAAATGAATCCTTTTTCTCCGTGGTGTCCAATTGAGTGCATATTTTCATTTAATTCTAATAATTTAAGATCAGTTTTTATACATGCCCAAGACTTTTTAGGTCTACCTCTACCTT